AAATACAGCTATACTTCTATTATCTAAAAATTATTGACTGTTCTTTATTTTCTAATTTGATGAGGAAATTACTTCAAAAACATGGTTGGTCTCTTCAGCAGATACTAAATGTTTGGTAAGATCAGTTATCTTTTTTTAATTTTTTTTTTTAAATTTTTTTAAAGATTTATTTATTTATACAAGAACTGGGGTACATGCCAGAGGCGCAGGAGGGTGAGAGGATTCACCAGAGACAGAGCAGGGAACAGAACGGGCAGACTGACGAAATGCACTGCTGAGGGGAGCAGCGGGCGTGACAGGAGAGGTCTACTCACCATGTGGAATTCTCACCAGCTGGTGGGGATGGAACCTGTGCTGCAGAATCTGCTGACAGCTTCACAGTGCGGTGCTCAACCTTGCCCATGCCACCAGGTAGGCCCAGTTATCTTTTATTGTAGATAAGAATATTTTCAAAGGCAACACATATAGGATCAAATATTATACAACTTACAGAATTATTGCTCAGAAACACTTGTAATTACTTATTAATAAGCACTAACAATTTTTTCCTTCATTTATGTATATGGAAACTGATGTCTTAACCACCAACATGAAGTTCTTAGCTCAAGGCTATTCTTAGAAACAAACAGCTACTGGAACTAAGTTTATTTACAACTAATTGAGGATTCTTTAAATGAAGAATTTATATAAAGCTTTTCATGTTCTTTTTTTGATATGGTTTAACATAGATGTGCTATATAAACAATACTAGTGGTTCTAGGTCTGCCAAATAATGTGTGCTAAATTTAAAAAAAGGATTTTCGTTTACATATTTTGATTTGGTATACCAAGTAAAAAGTGAAGCAAGGTATTTTTCCCAGTATTATTTATTTGATTATTTATTATTAAAATAATCAAAGAAATAAAAAATGACTTACAAAAACCTAACTGAATTGAAGAATAATTTCTAGAATTTCACTGATTTTTTAACATTACTTTATTGTTTATTTTGAAAGTATATGGAAGTAGAAGTAAATATAACCTATAACTTTATTCACAAGTATTAGAAAGTTAAAGTAATGTAAAATTGATTTTCTGTAATATTCATTTTTATTGTAGTATATCCATATTATCAGCATACTGTGTATTGTAACTCTCCTATAATCTTATTTTTAAGGGCTGTGATATTCTAGTGCACGAATGTTTGTATTTGTAACCATTTCCCTTGAGATGCCTTGTTATGGAGTCTAATTTTTAATAATTATTTCAAAATCCCAGTCTGCTCAGTTTAAGCAACATATATGATAAAATGAAAGTATGAGGCAGCACATAGGTTTTATCAGAAAACTTAATCTCTGTAACAGATGAAGTTTGTGTGCAGATAATAGAAATAACTAAGTATTTTAAGTGTTATCTGATTAAATGTAGAATTTAGGTACTTTGAAAATTGTTGAAAAAATCTATAAATGGGCCTCCCTGGTGGTGCAAGGGGTTAAGACCTAACCTATGAAGCTATCTGCAGCCACCACTGCAGCACAAACTCAATCCCCAGCTGGCCAGGGAGCTACCCACATGGTACAGCAGACTTCTCCTGGCTCTCCTGCTGCTCCCCTCAGCAGTGTATTTTGGCCAATTTGCCTGTTCTGTTCCCCACTCTGTCTCTGGTAAATTCTCTCACCCCCGCCCCACAAATACCTCTGGCCTGATGTCTTAATTTATTATGACATATCATACATTCATTAAGACATGTCATACATTTATTTATGTTTGCATAAATAAACAAATCTTTAAAAAGATCTATAGGCACAGTTTCTAGTTCTGGTCTGGATGAAGGCCTTTCTGTACGCCATATAGAACTTGACTATCACAAGAACAGCTACCTCTTCTACACTCTTTTTTGTCACCTACTGAATAACTGACTATATCAGTTTATCCACACTCAGGGGGTAAAAATCAACTTTCATAAATCCTGGCTTTGGAAAGGAAATAGCTTGGCTTTAACTAAGAAAGCAGGTATGAGCTCCAAACTACTTGGTGTGCATCAGCCTTGGTGTGCACCAGCTCAGGAAGCCTTATGCAGCTTCGAAATGGGAACGGAGATTCAGTGGGTACATCAGGCATGCTAGTTGCAAGGTAGTCTGGGAAATGTAGTTTATACCTGCCCTGAGTACAGATGATAGCCTGGAACGCAGTGGATCTGGTAGCCTATCTAAAGTGCTCACAATCTACTAAGATCAGTAAAATCCACATAGTAATGATATTATTAGATATTATATAATTCATCATTAAAACTCACATACACTGTTAGCTTATCTGGATCAGAAGTTGTGAATTTATTTAGATATTTCATAGTTAAAAATCAAATAATATTTATTGAATACCTTCTCTGTATAAAACACATTGCCATGGATAGATAAAATTTCTACACTTCAAAAACTTACAGTTGAAAAATAAATTACATAAAACAAATTAAATGTAAACATTACTTGAGCTGTCAAAAATACATATAATCTTAACAATTTTGCAGGCATAATTTACACTGATATATATACCAAGTATTGTGAATACATGACATTTATTAATTACATGCAGCAGAAATATCTGAGTCTTTGGGAAAAATATATAATCCCCTTTTCCTTATATTACTGAAAAATACAGATACCCTCACAAATTCTTATTTTTATTTTTATTATATCAAACCTATAACTGAGTTCCGTGGAGTCTGCCATAGCTTTTATTTTTTGTGTGTATGTTAAGCACACAATGACTAACCAGAAATTTCTGTTAAATTCTGTTAACTTCACACTCTCACCCTAATATTTAAATTATGACTTAACTCTTGTACAAGACCTGAATACAGAGTTTGTAGGCAATTCTTGCCATACAATAGAGGATTAGTGACTTTGCACCTCTACCTACGAAATGTCTTCACAAGTTTATGTAATCATTCAGCACAGATGGTGGAGATCTGTGACATGGACCAGTTACCACAAGCCCAGTTGACCTAATCAAAATCAACATCCGCTTTAGAAAAATTTATTATCCATTCATAAAATTCTGTGGCATAACATAAATGTCATGGCATCTTAGGTCCTACATCAGTAATTGATTTGTTTATGATACAAACTAATTCTCCACATTCTGCCTCTTTTCCAACAATAACAAGTAGAAACACGAACAGGGAAGGTTATTATTTACTAGCCACAGCTCAATGCACCATGTAATCAAATCCTTTGTCAGAGCATCCTGCCACATAATCAGATCGTGTGAATTGTCAGAGGCAATTTTATAAATATATATTCATTTAAAGCCTCGGTAAGCTTGTTATAGTGTAGAATAAGTACATTTTTCTTCTCTCCCCTCCCCTTTTGTTGTCATCTGAATTCTTATATATGGAGTAATTCCATTTCTTAAAAACATAGTTCAACTTTGGAAAAATAATAAATTCTCTACTCACCTACAGCAAATATTACTCTTCTAAGCCCTACACATTAAATTATTATAATTTGATTTGTTTATAATTTTCTCCCAGGATAACTTCTTTACAGGGCATTTTAAATCTGTTTTTCTGAAATTTCAACAGATATTTTTGCTGAGCCACGTTAGAGTTTAATAACAACTCAGTACACAATCAAAAGCTTATCAACATTGGCTTGAATATATATGAGCGGCCTCTCAGCCACATGTAAAACTACACTCCTTTGCAAAGAACAGGGCTGTGTGTAATCTGTGCCTTTGGCATGGTTTCATTAGTCCTGGACAGATTTGAACACTCTGCATTTTGTTTACACTTGGTAACAATGAGCAGGCGGCTCCAAATTTTCATGATATTGATTAAAATGACTAAACTGAAAATCAATTCCTACCTCTTTACAGAGGCCAGGTGACTCACACTAATAATAAAAAAGGTATTACACATTATTCTTTTTTTTAAAGATTTATTTATGCATACAAGAACTGGGGTACCGGCCAGAGGTGTGGGAGATGAAAGGATTTACCAGAGACAGTATGGAGCAGAACAGGCGGATCTACTGAAATACACTGCTGAGTGGAACAGTGGGAGAGATAGGAGAGGTCTGCTGCACCATGTGGGTAGCCCCCTGGCCAGGGATCGAACTCATGCTGCAGAGGCTGTGCAGCGCTTCATAGTGCTGCGTCTTAACCCCTTGTGCCACCAGGGAGGCCCCTACATGTTATTCTTCTAGGGCAACAATTACATTATCTCTGAGGAATGATAGTGGAGAGAAAGACACATACTTCTTAAAAATGATGCATGTGTTCCAGAAAATCAAGTAGGAGACATTTCTTCATTAGCTTAAAAAAATATTGAATCATTGCTCTTATATTTGGCACAATTAGGGAGAACATTAAAGGAAAAGATTCAGTCTTTATCCTCAGGGAGTGTGAGCGAAGGAAACCTGACTGGAAACAGCAAGGGAATAAGGAAGGAGAACAGAAGAAATGTAAGTAGAGCTAGAGGGAAAAGAAACTTAGGAAGTAGTCACCAGGGGATTCCGGCTTAATCAAAAATGTTTGAAGAAGGAATTGGTTGATATGGTTTGGAAGAGAAAATTAATTTCACTTTTTTAGGTAATTGATGTTGGAAGTGAACTTAAATGCAACAGGATTTAGTGGGAAAGGAATGATTTTGGTTGGGAGTGGCTTAGTAGTATAAAAACATTAGTAGTATAGCAGTATAAAAACATAGTATAAAACTTAGTAGTATAAAAACATAGTATAAAAACATTGATATCGTTAATTATATTCATCAATTACTAAAAAATAGAAGTAATAATGATAGGTGCTAATAATGATAGTGATAACAATAGTGCTGGAGCCTTAACTGCTCCTCCAGGTGAAGGCAGCGCCACACATGCTTGGTGACTCCAGCAGATGAACTAGCATGTCTGACGAAGCCCCCTGCTGTCTGGTTGTGAGATCTTTTACCTGAAGTCAGCACACTCCTCTCACTTGGAAGATTTTTTTTTTTTAAAAGATTTATTTATTTATGCATACACAAACTGGCATACAGGCCAGAGGTGTGGGGGGGTGAAAGGATTCACCAGAGACAGAGTGGAGAACAGATCAGGCAGATTGACTGAAATACACTCCTGAGGGGAGCAGCGGGAGAGTCAGGAGAGGTCTGCTGCGCCATGTGGGTCACCTTCCTGGCTGGGGATCGAACTTGTGCTGCAGTGGCTGTGGATAGCTTCATAGGTTGTGTCTTAATCCCTTGCGCCACCAGGGAGGAAGTTTTTGTGAGCAGACTTTGTGGTGTGGAGCTGCTGTCTGTCACCCTCTGTGGAATCCCAGACCTCCTTGTTATTAGTGAGCTTGGTGCCTAGCGTTCCTGCTGGTCGAGCTAAAACATAGAGTCCAGCATGGAGTCTCACAGTAGAACAAAAGTCCCGTTGTGAGGAAATACTGGAAAACCCGTATCTGTGGAAAACATCAGGAAAACAAGGCCAGATTAGCAGGATCAGCTAGAATACCTTACTTGTAAAGATTAGCAGAAAGGTAGGTAAGAATAGGAGCTACAGGGCCTTCCTGGTGGTCCAGGGGTTAAGTGTCAGGACTATGAAGCTATTAGCAGCTGCTGCAGCATGAGTTCGATCTGCATGATCGGTCTGCATGAGCAGACCTCTCCTGTCTTGCCCGCTGCTCCCCTCAGCAGTGTATTTCAGTCAATCTGCCTGTTCTGCTCCTCACTCTGTCTTGGGTGACTCCTCTCACCCCCCACACCACTGGCCTATACCCCAGTTCTTGCATTCATAAATAAAAAAAAAAAAGAATTGGGACTAGAAAGAGTATGCTTTGATTAGCAGGAGCTATGGAGCCCCCCAAGAAATAGTCCCTGGTCGCTCCACCCTAGTTTATACCAGAAGATAAAGCATCCCCAATAATGCATCCCTAAGCATGCATATTCCTCCACGTGCCTGCCCATCTTCTCTGAACCTGTTTCTAAATAAATATGAGACTGCATAGATTGAGGCTGTACTTTTTAGGTACAGGCCCCTCCAGGCCTCTCTCTACTTAGACTTGAAGTAATTGTTCCCTCATACTGGGCTGCTCCCAACACAGTGGCCCTGCAAGGCAGCAATCGTCTTCATACTATCACCAGGAGGAGCATGTAAGTGAATTCCAAAAAAACTGAGCTTAAGTAAGTGGACAAGTCTAGGCTGTAGCCATCAAGAAAAGAAGGATTAATCTCGTCTGCATGACTCCTGTGTCTGTCTCTTAATCCAGATTAATCTTGAGCATAATTCTTTATGGACACTTGCAAATGTCATCTCTCATTGCTATCATTTAACCACATTTAAAGATAAATGTCAATTTCAATCTGACCTGCAGATTCCTCTCTCTTTGTGAAAGTAGGAATTTCCTATTTGATATGATGGCTAGGTTATGCTGTGCATCTGGGAACACTGTTACCATATTTTTAATTTTTTGAGAAGAAAATTAGCATTCTCAGACCTCCACAATAACCTACAAATCATATAAAAAATGAATGTTCTACTTTTGGACAGGAGAGAAACTTGGATTATGTAAAAATAGTATCAAATATGCAAATAAATCTATTCTGCACACAATTAATCTGCAATATATGATTTGCTATTAAAGAAAAATATTTCTGTTGCAAACTCCCTTTTGGAAATTGTATATTTACCCGTACAAGGCTGAGGATACTACATTAACATTGCTCCATAATTTAACAAGCTATCTCATCACAAGAAAGGGTGGCATTTTAATTTTGTTCAGTGGTTAGTCCAACATTATAATGTACCTGCTTTAAAAAAAATATTTCCTTTTATGAAAATAGGACATTTTTAATTAGGAAAATGTATCCCACTCTCTAAAATATTGCACATTTATTTTTTTAATTCCAACTTATTATAAACTGTTAATCAGTCATTAGGCTTTGTATTTTGGTAAAAGCATTAGTGCAAGGGATAAAAGCAGATGAATTTGGAGAAATATGTATTCCATTCCATTTTAGGAAGAATTACTCTAACTGTGAAAATGACAGACAGGAAGATTAAAACTCTATACCTTTATTGCACTAAAATATAAACTTCACTTACAGAAGGAACTCAGGATAATTCACTCTATCAAGTTTGAAAATTTAGTTGGCTGTAGTACTGGTTATAATTAACTGTGATCGAAAGGGAAACATCATGGAGCCTATAAAAATTTACTTCTGAGAAGTTGTAGGGTCAGGAATGACACAGTGCAGGCTTTCTATGATCCAGCAAACTGGGTAAAGGAGGAGTCAGAGTCCTCAGTAGCTTTTGCAGGTTTTTTATTTAGATTACCAGGTACACGGCAGGCAGGGGTGCTGGGGGGCCGGGAGGCTGGCAGGCCTCCCAGCCCCCAGCAAGTCTTCACTCTATCTGGGCTCTCTCGTAGTTCTGCTTCTGATTCTCTCTTTCTCTCCAGGCTTCTCTTTCGGTTTCTACTCTCGGCTTCTGCTGCTGCTGGCATCCCCATGACGCCGCCCTTCAAAGTCCAGACTCTCAGCCCAGGTGTACCCACTCCAGGTGTCTGCCATCAGGCATGCACTCAGGACCACAGGGTTCCCTCATCTACCCTAATGGAGGGAGGCAGAAAAGTCTGATAACGTTTACCTACCCTACAGAAGGTAAGAGGAAAAAGACAGATTTGGAAACTTCTGTTTATTGTCAACAAAATAATCCAAAACTACCCTCCAGCTGAAAAAAAAGAAAAAAAAAAAACAGGACAAATATAAAATCTATCTGCATTAAAACATTAGAAATTACTAATTTAAAAGGACATTGATGTTTTAGAATATAAGTTTAGGGGCTTAGACTTAGGGGCTTGCTCAGGGTAGTTTGCTGACTCTGGAGGTGATGGCTTTTGGGTTGGAGCAATTCTTTTGCACAGACTGCAAAGTCACTTTCCACTAAGCTGTGTTTTCACTCACATAGTCCACAGAATATCTGAATTTATTTACAATAGGGAAGCTACCAAAGCAGTAAAGAGATGCTGGACCAAGATTAGAAGGGAAAAGAAACCAGATACATTGTTAACTCATTATTTGGCTCAGCTGTACTACTTCTCTTATTCTAAAATGTAAAAAGCTGCAATTGAGAGTCTGAAAAATTCAACAGCGATCTTCTAGATCCTTAGTTTTTGTTTTGTTTATTTTTTATTTGTTACATCATTGTTCATTGTTTAAAAATGTTGTTTTATTTTGTTTTTAATTCATTTCTTTTTTTGTGTTACACCATTGTTCATTGTTTAAAAATGTTTTATTTTGTATTTTGTATTTATGTTTATTTTTTACATCATTGTCCATTGTTTAAAAATGTTTTATTTTGTATATTTTATCTTTATTTTTTTAATTTTTTACATCATTGTTCATTGTTTAAAAATGAACACTGATGTAAAAAAAAAACAAGTAAAACAGAACAAAAACAAAGTAAGAGGATCTAGAAAAAGCTGTTGAGTTTTTCAGACTCTCAATCACAGCTTTTTACATTTTGGAATGTGAAAAGTAGCACAGCTGGGCCTAATAATGAGTTAACCTACCTGGGTTTCTTTTCCCTTCTAAGCTTGGTCCAGCATATCTTGACTGCTTTGGTCGCTCTCCTACACTTCCTGTAGAGTTTATTGTAAATAAATTCAGATATTCTGTGGACTATGTGAGTGAAAAATCAGCTTAGTGGAGCGTGAGAGCAAATTTGGGGTCAGGAATTTAGCCATTAGGCAGGTGCCATCTTCTTCACATTTAGGGGAGTCTGGAATCTGGTTTCCAGACACTGAAATAGAAGCTTAGTGAATTATTTTTTGCCGCTGCTTAAATCAATAGTATGTGGCTCAGTTAGAGACATTAAGTTCCTTGAGTAAACCAGGTGAGGACTTGACCAGCCCTGGAGGAGATAAATACAAATCAGTCAGCTCCTTCCTGAGGGGCTCAGATTAATCAGTCACTGCTGTGAGTAAACAGCCATCAACCCTAACCCTTCCTTTCTGGCATTCTGAAACCTAGAACTATCTGCCTTAGTCACTCTTTCCGTCTTCTGAGGCCCAGATCTGACACCACTTTCTGAAATTTAAGACAAATGAGGGTAAATGCTTAATGACAGCATGTAATGGCAGGACAGGACCACAGGGCAGGTTTTCTGATCCAGTACACAGGGTAAAGGAGGGGGGAGTCCTGGAGCCCTCAGTGGCTTTTCAGGCTTTTATTGGGATTTACCAGGCACATGGCAGGCAGGGGTGCTGGGGGGGCCGGGAGGCTGGCAGGCCTCCCAGCGCCCCCAGCAAGTCTTCACTCTTCCTGGGCTCTCCTGCGTTCTCTCAAGTTCTCTCTGCTTCCTTGGTTCTCTGCTTCCCTTCTGCTGGCGTCTCTGTGACGCCGCCCTTAAAAGCCCACTCTTAGCCCAGGTGAATCCCATCTACCTATGTCCTACTCCAGGTGCCCGCCGTCAGGCATGCATTCGGGACCACAGGGTTCTGTCATCTATCCTGATGGTGGGAGGGCAGAAAAGCTTGATACTTTTTACCTTACTCTACACAGCAGTGAAAGAATAATGCTTATTGTTACATAGTACATTTTTAAAAGAAATAGACTATTTAACAAACTGACCTACAAATATTATCTTTTACTCCTAGAAAATGTTTTAGTCAGTATTTTTTCACTTCTACTGCAATTGATTTGCACAATATAGTTATATAACATCCATATACACACGCATTATAGCACACATACAAGCTAGACTAGATTCTATTAGGTAAAATAGAATAGAAAATCATGCTTTTCCTTCTCTATATTCTCTTCCTTCTCTTTATTCTCTTCCTTCTCTAGAACTCTGTGAAGCAGATATCACTCCAACTGTAATTTTATTTATTTTTTAAAATATTTATTCATGCATACAAGAACTGGGGTACAGGCCAGAGGTGTGGGAAGGTGAGAGGATTCACCAGAGACAAACTGGGGAGCAGAACAGGCAGACTGACTGAAAACACTGCCAAGGGGAGCAGCGGGGAGACAGTAGAGGTCTGGTGCATCATGTGGGTTGCTCCCTGACCGTCCAGGGATTGAACTCATGCTGCAGAGGCTGTGGATAGCTTCATGGTGCTGTGTTTAACCCCTTGCACCACCAGGGAGGCCCCTCCAATTGTAATTTTAATGATAAGGAAATAGGCTGAGAGGTTAAGAAAATCTCTTCATAATAATTCTATTTTGATTTTACTAAATCCAACCTTTCCAGTGGCCTGAATTCACCCCAAAACATCCTTCTTACATTGCTATTACTTGTTTATGAAATTACAGTGTGAATGTCATTAACAGAAAAACAAGACCAGAAATTACTGGTTTTCTTCCTCTGCTAAGTGAAAGACTATCAGGTTTTTCCTATTTATGTCTCTAACTACCTGGCTACTTTCATAATTATTGTACCTTCTCTAGGTAAGATAGAAAATATTGGAGATAAATTACTTGATATTGAATGAACAGAGTTCTGCCTGTTCAATTTTACCCAGGATTTTGTTAGAAATATGAATACCTGAATTCTATGCCCTAGAGATTATGATTCAAATTTGTGAGAGGATCAAGATGTTTGAAATTACAACAAATTCTCCCACATGATATTGCTGTAAATGATTTCAGTACCATAGTCTCCGGGAATATTGTCAAAGGAGAGTGTAGGGTAAGGAAAAAAGTCAGGCTTTTCTGCCCTCCCGCCATTAGGATAGATGAGGGAACCCTGTGGTCCTGAGTGCATGCCTGATGGCGGGCCCCTGAAGTGGGTACACCTGAGTTTATAAGGGCGGCGTCGTGGGGATGCCAGAAGAAGCCAAGAACGAATGGAAGCCGAGAGAAGCAGAGAGAAGGCCAGAGAGAGCCCAGATAGAGTGAGGCTTTGCTAGGCGCTGAGAGGCCTGCCAGCCTCCCTGCCCCCCAGCACCCCTGCCTGCCATGTGCCTGGTAAATCTACACAAAAAGGCTGCAAACCCACTGAGGACTCTGACTCCTCCTTCACCCGGTCTGCTGGATCAGAAAACCTGCCCTGTGTCCATTCCTGTCCCTACAATTGGCGTAGGTCGGCAGGATGATCCATGCAGACGGGTGTGGAGCCCTCCGAAGACCTGGAGGGACTGAGGAGCAACAGACGGTTTGCCTGTGACGGCGCTGGAGGCGCCACGGCGGCACAGGAGAGGGACAAGGTCCGGGAGCTGCGGGACGAGACCTTGCGTGGAGGAGACGCCCGAGAGGACCAGCCAACGGCCCCCGAGGCAGCAGAGTCTTCGGGGAGGAGAGGACCACGATTCGGAGCTCGCCGGTGCTGATGCGGGGAGAGGCCAATGGACTTGGACTGACAATCTCGCCAGAAGGTGGAGGAACTTTGGCAGGTTAAGTTTTTGGGACCCTGGGGGAGGATGCTATTGTTTGTGCACCCCAGGAGATGGGAATCTGGGGGTGGCCAGTAGGCCTTGATGGCCAAAAGCAGCCTGTGTATGCCCAGCAGCCAGGCGGAGGAGAAGCCAAGTGAGAAAGCAAAAGCTGGTGCTGATGCTGAGTTTGGGAAGCCTTGAGCGGCTGTTAAGCACTAGGTAAGCTGAGGAAGGCCAGTGAGTCTCGTAAAATCACCTGTGGGTGACGCCCTGCTCGTTGTCGAGGGAGGGTGAGGAGCTGAGGAACCCGTCCTTGGGGGATGGGTGGGGAACGTGGCTTGGGGTGGAGCCCAAGCCGAAGAGGGGACCCGAGAGAGGCCGCATGTAGAGTTTGGATCCCCGACCCATGTGCTTGTGCAGTGGGTTGGCTTGAGTGCAGGGGTCTGCGAGTTGCACTGGTGGCTATGAAGGCCGAGTGTTGGAGCGACTGCAGACAAACCCTGAGGGTTGGCGATTACCCCCAACAGAACAGAATCGCCCATCCCAGAGCTAGTGCATCCTGGGGGTGGATGCTGTGTGTGGCCTGTAGCCGAGACTACAGCCAGAGAAGGCCAGGAAGCCTGATGGCTCCTGGTGTGTGACAGTAGATGCCGTGAGTGGTTCCCCTCCCTCGTATGAGCAGTGCCTGCGGCAGCAGATGCGGTGGCTCATCTGCTGGTGCCAATAATTGTCTTTTGCCACTAGGTTGGGGCCCTGCCTGGAATTATTTGTGTTCTGTTGTATTTTATGTATTTTGTTATTCTATTTGATGTATATTATTTGTTTTTGTGGGTCATGGCTGCAGTGTTCTATTGCCAAGAAAAACGTATATGACTTGTATAGACTGTCTGGCAGAAAACCCTGAGGGGGTGGACGGTAGGGTAAGGAAAAATGTCAGGCTTTTCTGCGCTCCTGCCATTAGGATAGATGAGGAACCCTGTGGTCCCTAATGCATGCCTGAGGGCGGGCACCTGGAGTGGATACACCTGAGTTTATAAGGGCGGGGACGCCAGAAGAAGCCAAGAACGAACGAAAGCCAAGAGAAGCAGAGAAGCAGAGAAGCAGAGAAGCACAGGGCCTCCCCAGTGGCTCAGCGGTTGAGCGCTGGGTTGCGAAGCTGCCCGCAGCCTCTTCAGTGCTGGTTCGATCCCCGGCTGCTCCCCGGCCACCAGAGGAGGATCCCACATGGTGCGCAGACCTCTCCTGCCGCCCGCTGCTCCCCTCAGCAGTGTACTTCGGTCCTTCTGCCTGCTCTGCTCCCCGCTGTGGCTCAGGTAGAGCAAGGCTTGGCTGGGAGGCCTGCCATCTTCCTGCCCCCTGCCCCCCCCCCCCCCCCCCCCGTACCCCTGCCTGCCATGTGCCTGGAAATCTACATAAAAAGGCTGCAAACCCACTGAGGACTCTGACTCTTCCTTCACCGGGTCTGCTGGATCAGAAAACCTGCTCTGTGTCCGTTCCTGCCTCTACAGAGAAATTTGAGTTTAAATCTCAACATGCATTTTAGCAACTTGTGTTTTGCTCTTATTTGGGATTGTTTTATTTGAGTTGCAGGGGAGGAAAAGAAGAAGGAAAATGTATTCATATACATATATAAATATACTATTTAGACCAAGTTATCTCTTACCACAAAGGAGTAAAACCAAGATAATAACAAATTGCATATATAGGACAATTTAACTTAATTTTGGTAGTTATACCTGTGGTGTGTCTGCAAGTATAATTTAATTAAAATGGAAAATGTGATATTTGGGTAATATGTTTTTGAACTTTCTATCTAATTACCCATGGTAAGTGTGCTGACCTCATGCTGCTACTAACAACTGAAAATAATACAAAATATATTTCCCTAAATGTTCCTTACAAAAGCATGCAGTTAGCCAATTATAAGTAAGTATTTACTTTCACTATTCTATTTGAGCTAATATATGTGTTAAAACTTAGAAAAATTAAGATTATTTAATTTCCATGTTAACACAAAAAGTTTATCAAAGTACTTTTTCACAAAAGCTTTTCTAGCTCCCATTAATTAGTTTCAAGAAAATCAGTAGCTTGAAATAAAAATAAGTCACAGCAAAACAACGAATACAAAAAAATAGTAGTTTTCCATAATAGTTTGAATAGTTCATCAGTTTTAAGTGGTTATTTTCTTAGAGATAATCACTGACACACTGGAACTCAAATATCTGCTTGGAGGTGATGTATTTGTTTATTAAATGTGACACCGTCTACTCTCAGTCCTTATACAACAAAATTGTGGAATGCCTTCTTCTGAGAATCTAGTCTCAAATCATAAATGTTGGGGAATGTGGACTTCATTTGAACCAGTCCATGAAGATGTTTGAATGGAATTAAAATATGATAATCTGATATAGATCTATAACCAAGTAAATTTAAAGATACCATTTGAAAATCTTGTATGAGACATGAAAAATCTGGCAAGAGACATCATAAAAAGTATTATATATACACACATATTTACATATTATATGTATTACAATTTATACATATATTTATTTTATATGAAGATCTTTTGTAATATATTAAAGGCACTGGACTAAGTTCCTTAGTTTGTCAGGAATAATAATTTAAAAAATATGAAGCATATAAAGGAAAAATCAACATATGAAGCAAATACAGTATTAGTAAATGCATATAGCAAGTAAACTTAAAGCTATGCTCACATTTATGCATAATTAAAGAAATGCTCACTGATACAGAGAACAGTTCAGTACTTACCAGAGAAGGGGGTTAGAGGGATGGCTTAATGGTGGAAGAACATCAAGAGGTAACAAATTTCAGTTATAAATAAATAAACCACAGGGTTACAATATACAGCACAGAACTAATGTCAATATTACTGTATCACAATAATACATTGCTCCCCTCAGCAGTGTATTTCATCAGTCTGCCTTTCTGTTCCCCACTCTGTCTCATCTGGCTTGTACCCCAGTTTGTGTATAAATAAATCTTTGAAAATAAAATAAATAAATAACATGCATGGGGCCCCCTGGTGGTGCAGGGTTTAAAGACACAGTGCCATCAAACTATCACCAGCCACTGCAGCAGGATGTCACTCTCCCACCGCCCAGGGAACTAAAGCACATGGCTTAGCAGACCACTCCTGTCTAGCCCACTGCTCCCCTCAGCAATATATTTCAGTGCATCTGCCTATTCTGCTCCCCAACTCTGTCTCTGGTAAATTCTCTCACCCCCGCACCTCTGGCCTACACCCCTGTTCTTGTATGCATAAATAAATCTTTAAAAAAAAAAAACATGGGGCCTCCCTGGTGGTGCAAGGTATTAAGCACCACACTATGAAGCAATCTGCAACCTCTGTAGCACAAGTTCGTTCCCCTGCCGGCCAAGAAGCAAACCACATGGCACAGCAGACCTCTCCTGACTCGCCCGCTGTTCCCCTCAGCAGTGTATTTCAGTCAATCTGCCTGTTCTGTTCCCCACTCTGTCTCTGGTGAATCCTCTCACCTCCCTGCCCTCCCATCTCTGGCCTGTACCCCAGCTCTTGTATGAACAAATAAGGAAAACTTAAAAAAGAAAACACACACACACACACACACACACACACACACGTGTGAATTTTGGTTGAACAAATCCACTGATAGGAATCCATGGCTCCTGTAATATGCAAAAATTATTTACACCCTGAAACAGCATTTTTTGGTGATATAACACTTTTCTTAAATAATTTGAACATCCATTCTTGGAGGGTCTCTTTCCTGATATTACCTTCCATGTCGAGGAAGATTCATTCACTGACACGCTGGATGGTCCAGTCCATGCATGTATTCCTCTTTCATCCGATTGGTGGCTTTGGGATGAAGAAATTGATAAGATTTGTCAACTTATTGATCTACCATTCTCTTTTGGGATCACCTTTAAGAAAATCAAAACAAAATAACATACTCTTAACTACTCTCTAACATGCTATCAGATTAATGATAAAGGTTTTGCCTGTGTGGGACTTATGCCTCCCTATGGAATTGAATTCTGATAACAGATATTTAGAGTACAAGAATAATGTACATCCAAGCCAAAATCTTGAGTACTACCTTTCATCATATTACTTAGTCTTATACGTCATCTACTTTATTAGTCAATTGATTTTTAGATAGGATAAAGGAGGATTATATTTACTGTGTTTTCAATAAATTCCATCACACACAATGGAATACTGTAACTTAACCTTCTTATGTATAGAAGGAAATTATAAAAGAACCTACCTACCTCATGATATATGCCAAACCGATTTTATGCACTTAAGAGATTCAACTGGCTTCCTCTACCCCTGTACTTAAGCTCTCTCTCTCTCTCTCTTTTAAAAATTTATTTATGCATACAAGAACTGGAGTGCAGGCCAGAAGTGTGTGTGTGGGGGGGTGAGAGGATTCACCAGAGACAGAGCGGGGAGCAGAACAGGCAAATCTATGGAAATCCACACCTGAGGGAGCAGTGGGGGAGACAGGAGAGGTCTGCTGTGCCATATCGGTAGCTCCCTGGCTGGCTGGGGATCGAACTCTTGCTGCAGAGGCTGTGGATAGCTTCACAGTGCTGTGCTTAACCCTTGTACCACCAGAGAGGCCCAGCTATCTCTTTAATAAGAGGCTTGATTACCGAAGGCGCTACCTCATGTCCCAATTTAACCCACACAATCTGAGTTCGTACTTAGTGTAGTTACATGCTTAGCATAATTAATAGTAATCCCTTTCAATCTCTAAATACCCACATTTAGAAGGTTGATTATATGCTTCTCTGTGAATATTACTGGCTATCTGTTGCGACAGGAACTATGTTGCTGCTTTGTGGCAGGAACGTGATGAGGGACACAATAGTGGTGGAGCAGGTCTGCAAGACAAGACTCTGCTACTTGAGCAGAAGTTCTTGTGCCATTTATTGAAAGCATCCAGGCCAGTAAAAGCTGATCATGCGACAATAGGATGAGGGATAAGGTCTGTGGGGTGGGATAGGAATGGGGGACAAAGATTTATAAGAAACAGGGAAGGGGAAATCGTGACCGTACATCAAGAGACATTTGCATCAGCAAAGTATGATGTTATCACAGGCAGAGTTACCCTGAGCCAAGGAGATAGTCATGTAATCAGGTCAATAGCGGACTAGGCCTTCCCAGGAGGGCCTTGTGATTTGGGCTGTAGTCCGTAGGTAGTTGAGGAATACTCTGATGTGATCTGCAGGTAGCAAATAGGTCACAGTTACCCATGAGTGGCCAGCTCATATGGACCCAAAGCTATTTAGTTTCTCCCATTGGGCTAAGGCTCTGGCTTTGCCATTTTGTGTTCCCTTTGGTCCAAGACACATTTAGGTCCAAATCATTAGAACATAGGGCATCTCATTTTCCCAAGACTGCCCAGAGGGGCCTTATAACTTAATACAGAAGAGAAGAAAAGTTAACATGTGAGTGATCTTTTTTTTAAGATTAATTTATTTATGTATGAAAGAACTGGGGTATAGGCCAGAGGTGTGTGGGGTGAGAGGGTTCACCAGAGACAGAGTGGGGAGAACAGGCAGATTGACTGAAATAGACTGCTGAGGGGAGTAGCAGGTGAGCCAGGAGAGGTCTGCTGCACCATGTGGGTAGCTCCTTGGCTAGGGATCGAACTTGTGCTGCAATGGCTGCAGATAGCTTCATAGGTTGTGTCTTAACCCCTTGTGCCACCAGGGAGGCCCATGAGTGAACTTTTCAATAAAATAAGAGAAGAGCAAAATCCAAAAGTCAAATTTATAGACTTCTACCCCCTAACAGCTGACTATAAGATACAGTGGTTCCATAAAATTCCTTTATTTATTCAAAGAACTGGCCATATTTTGAGAGGCCATGACCAGTTCAGTAAGGCATCTCATTGAATTTCCTTTCTTCTCCTTTCTCCTGCCTTTGTTGACCTGGGATTGTAATCAAAGACATAAAACATGATTTTCTTCCCTTGCTCAGTTTTCTAGGAAATACAGCACAAAACAGTACCGGGAATGGTCCTGAAAGTAAAACTCTTATTACAGACTTTTAGATTGGATTCCCTGTCTATCTGGAGGCAACAAGAACCCCTTTGCTTTTTTTAAGTGGGTCACTTGGGGCATACCATAAATAGCCCTTTATTAAAGCTTTTACCTTTTTGAAGCTGCATGGGTTATAAACGAAAGTCTTGGGACTGTACAGGTTGATTTAAAGGTTGTGGTATTAGAAGGACTGTACTGTGGGTGACTTTTTTTTTTTATGACATCTCAAGTCTTAGAAAAGTGAAAATAAAATAACATCTCAGGTGACTTAATTTCTAAGAATACATGCCCTACAAATCAAAAGACTTGTAAGCAGCCTCTAAGAAGATCACTGTATCCCACAACAAAAGGCCATTGTAAGTCTGTGCCAGAATAAATAAGCCCAGAATGGGGCAGGGAACTCAGATGATATGCAATGAGTTATGGCCAAATCTACAGCCTTAGTGGAAAAAGAGTGGTAGCAGAGAGGTGGGATTTTGGGGGAGGAATTTGGAAATCTTCATCAAATTCTTCTGAAGTTCCTTGGCCAGGAATATCAATTCAATTCCACTGGGAAATGATAAATAATTTCATTGTCTGAAGACTCTAGAGCATTTGTTTCTTCTTCACATTAATATCCACACTCACCACCCCTCTTCAGGAACATGACAGGGTCAGATCTCAGAACAGCCAGAACTTGAAAGTATGAACACTGTTATGCAGGGAAAAAAATAAATGGTGCAAAGAACAAAATAATTGAAGGAATTTGGAATATGGGGTGGTGAGGACAAAATGTAATGCAGAGAAGAGGAAAATGCATTCATAGTGAGGCATCATGGAGCTTCCCTGTTGGCACAGAAGGTTAAGATGCAACCTATGAAGCTATCAGCAGCCACTGCAGCACAAGTTCCATCCCCAGCTAGGGAGCATCACACTTGGTGCAGCAGACCTCTCCTGACTCGCCCGCTTCTCTGCTCACCAGTGTATTTCAGTCAATCTGCCTGTTCTGTCTCTGGTAAATCCTCTCAACCCCCACACCTCTGGCCTGTACCCCGGTTCTTGTATGCATAAATAAATAAATCTTAAAAAAAAAAAAAAACTAGCAAGGCATCATGACCTGGACATAAGAGTTCTGTCTCACTTCAAGAAGTCAGGGACAAAAAGAAATAGCTTGCATTAAATGTGGTAGAGATACTAGGATGTCTGTGAACAAAGTCCAGCAGACTGAGCTAGGGATCTGAAGACTCAGGGGTGACAACCTAGACAGAAGCATTGCATATATACCATCTAAATACATCCTCCAGAGTTTGTTGGACAGTTTCTTCACTCAAGTGCTATCAGCTGTGCTGGAGGCAGAGACATTATTATTATCAGCAGATCCCTCTAATGATATAATGAAGTCAAGATTTTAGGATGAAGCTTCTAGCATTGATGAATGCTGCTGTAGGCAAGAAGCTCAGTGTAACACAAATTCAGAGTTGAGAATAGAAATCAGGCAGGTATTTTCTTTAGACCACGGACATATTTCCTAGAAAAGGACACTTGGACAATTGCAGAAACAGACTAAAAGCAAATGATGAGAACAAAGAAACAACTAAACTAAATATTTTAGAATATTACAGGTCACATATATGCTATATCAACTATATCTTATTTTTTTAAAGATTTATTTATGCATACAAAAGCTGGGGTGTAGGCCAGAGGTGTGGGGAGTAGGAGGATTCAGCAGAGACAGAGTGGGGAGCAGAACAGGCAGATATACTGAAACACACTGCTGAGGGGAGCAGCGGGTGTGATAGGAGAGGTCTGCTGCACCATGTGGGTCAGCTCCCTGGCCAGGGATTGAACTCCTGTTGCAGTGGCTGTGGGATAGCTTTATAGTGCTGAGATTTAACCCCTTGCACCACCAGGGAGGCCCCCAATTATATCTTAATAAAATATCCTTACACAAAATTGACTGTATATTCTGAACTAGAAGCTTAAGTAACTTCTTTTTTCTAAAGTGTGAATTATCTTTATTTCACTTTCTACTTTTTCCACATAATACATTTTCAAGATGCCTACCTGAGAATACAAAAAATACTAAAAGGATAAAGAAACCATTTCCCATCCAACCACATCTTATAACTGCTTTGATGAGAATATTTGCCATTTACTCAATTAACTTCATCGTTATATTGCAGCTTCAATTACACAATCTTTCATTTTTCACTAATCTGGATATGGCACACATTTATTTTAAATATTTATTTATTTATTTATACAAGAACTGGGGTATAGGTCAGAAGCGCAGGAGAGTGAGAGGATTCACCAGACCCAGAGCGGGGAACAGAACAGGCAAATTGACGAAATACACTGCTGAGGGCAGCAGCGGGCAAGAAAGGAGAGAGGTCTGCAGCACCATGTGGGACCCTGGCCAGTGGCCCAGAATTGAATCGGCGCTGCAGAGGCTGTGCTCAACCTCTGTTTCACCGGGGAGGCCCCACATTATTTTTCATTACCCAAAACAGTTTTTGAAAACAATTTAAGCTATATGTTACTTTTTCTGTGGTGGTTTTCCTCTGTGTCACTTAAGTAAATTCCTGCTACACGTCCCACAATTCATTTCCATGTTGGGTTTTGGGGTAAAGTTGCCATAGAGAAATGGGTGTGTGATGGTAAAGAAGACATAAAATGACACCTTTGTGTTTTGAAAATTGGAGAAGGGCCAGTGAGCTGCCATATTTCACACATGTTGTCACTCATCCACTGCTTGACCCTGTTGGGATGTGAGGGGTGGATGCTTCAGTCTTCTTCCTCTCCTGTGAAAAGTTCTCCTTCAAC